TGGGGCCCCGTCCAAACCCCTGATACTGCAAGCCCGTTGTACGTGGCCCCCCAGCCGGTGGTTGAGGCATCTGTGCAACCCAGCATGCCTGGAGACCTGCTCCAGGGGCACTCCTGCCCGGAGGAACGCAAGGTCTGACCACGGGGTGAAGGTTTGGCGGCAGGCCGGTGTCACCTGGACCCGGAAGGTGCCGCGTTGCCACGCCCACCTCGGGACTCGGCCATGGAGCCAGTGCTGCAGCGGTCTCATATGGAGTAGCCCCAGTGGCGTGACTGCCGCCGTGGCCGCCATATGCCCCAGGAGCCTCTGAAACAATTTCAGTGGGACCGCCATCCTGCTCTTGAATGTATTCAAGCAGTTCAACACCGACTGAGCACGTTCCTGCGTGAGGCGTGCTGTCTGTTCGACCGAGTCCAACTCCATACCGAGAAAAGAGATCCTCTGCGTCGGGGAGAGTTTGCTCTTTTCCCAGTTGACCTGAAGGCCCAACAGGCTGAGGTGTGAAAACACCAAGTCCCTGTGCTCGCACAACTGATCCTGAGACTGGGCGAGTATGAGCCAATTGTCGAGGTAGTTGATGCGAATGCCCTGCTCTCTCGTGGGAACAAGGGCTGCCTCCGTAACTTTCGTAAAGACACGGGGCGACAGGGACAGCCCGAAGGGCAGGACCTTGTACTGGTATGCCCGCCCCTCGAACGCAAACCACAGGAATGGCCTGTGGTGCGGAAGGATCGAAACATGAAAGTACGTGTCCTTCAGGTTGATCGCTGCGAACCAGTCTTGGGGACGGATACACCTGAAAGTGCATTTCTGCGTGAGCATCTTGAACGGGAGCCGGTGAAGGGCCCGGTTCACGACGCGCAGGTCCAAGATAGGTCTCAACCCACCGCCTTTCTTGGGTACAATAAAGTAGGGGCTGTAAAACCCCGACCTCATATCGGCTGGAGGGACCGGCTCTATCGCGTCCTTCGCCAGTAGGACTGCGATCTCTGCACGCAAGACAGGGGCATCTGCTGCTTTCACTGACGTAAAGTGGACGCCCCTGAACTTGGGAGGGCGCCGGGCGAACTGAATCGCATAGCCGAGCCTGACGGTTCGACGGAGCCATCGAGACGGGCTGGGTAGCTCTAGCCAGGCTCCCAGACGCCGCGCAAGTGGCATCAACGGAACTACAGGCGTACCCGCAGCGGGGCAGCGTGAAAGAACGCAGGGACCCGGCCCGGGCGTCTCTTTGCCGGTCCGAGGCGGGGTCTGAGTGTGTAACACTGACCTGCGTTTGAGCAGAGGGTGCGTGGGTAGTCCGTTGGTTCGTCCTCCCGATCCGCCCACTGCTGCTCACTGGCGAGAGAGGAGGGTGAGTGTGATACGTACTAGATCGTCCACAACCCCCCGTCCCCTCTGGGGACCCAAAAAATAGAGGAATTGCTCTTTGTCGAGAATTTGGGTACCACCGACCGAGGTCATTGGTGGAAAAAGATTCTCCGCCCGGCCCTCCTCCGGGGGAGGGAGTGGTGTGCTTACCATCTCCTGAAGAGCACGTCCCTCCACCTCTGGGTCGCCCGTCTCCGGGCCTCTTGCTCTCTCGCTTGCCACCAGGTTTGGCGGGGGGCCTGGACGGGCGGGGCGGCTGCCCTGCGACCGGCTCCACGGCACAGCTTTGCTGGAGGCTGCAGGAGCTCTGCTCTTGTTTGGCGGTGGCAGGGGGGCCGCCCTCGGCGACGGCAGCAGCTGCACACCGGCAGGATGTACCTGATGGCCTCAGTCTGCTCTGGTCAGCGGAGAACCGCTGGGCACGTTCTCCACCGTGTCGCCGACAGGCCGGCCTGGGACACGGGGGCGTTCAAGAATCGTGTCTTGTCCGTCTCGCGCATGTCAGCCAGTCACAGCCAGATTTGGCGCTCCTGGACCACCATAGTGGACATGGCACGACCCAGAGACCGCGCCGTAACCTTCGTCGCTCGTGGCGCGAGGTCCGCCGCGGTGCGGAGTTCTCTCTGAACTTCCAGGTCGTGACCACCCTCGTGCAAGTCCCTCAGTGCCTTGGCCTGGTGCACTTGCAATCACGCCGTAGCGTGTAAGGCGGAGGCAGCTTCTCCACCGGTCGTATAGGCATCGCTGGCCAGCCGAGTACCTACAGACCCGGGAGAGGAGGCACGGTTCTCCCTGCCGGTTGGAGACGGTATTTAGGACACACTGCATCGCAACCGACCGCTCCACCGGGGGGACCCTTGTAACCCCCTGACTGCCCCACCATCGAGGGTGGTGAGGGAGGAGGATCCAGCAAATCAGTTTCTGGCAGTAAAAAGGTGCCGTCCACGACCTGTTGAGCTCCTCATGCACCTCCGGGAAGAAAGGCACTGAGGCGGGGGGCTTGGAACCAGCGCGGACCGCCCCGGGAACCAATCGTGCAACCTTGAGGGCTCGGGACACGGTGAAAGTCTTCACTCGAGCCCTACCC